CTCTCTCTCTCTCTCTCTCTCTCTCTCTCTCTCTCTCTCTCTCTCTCTCTCTCTCACAGGAAGTCCTGATCTTGTGGTTTACACCTCAGAGCTTCCTGCCAGAGCTTTAGGAGTGTTAACAAGTCTAAGAAGTCAAGGGGAAGGCAGGCTGGCAACAGGACCACAAACATGGTACCAACTCTTCAAAGCAGGCATCTTCTCACTGCCTATTGTTAGACCTTTATCTGAAAACTGTCTCCCCCCGCCTCGTTTCCCAAAGTACAGCTGCTGCGGCTGCTAGCTGGGGATGTGGACTGGCTTTTAAGTAATGGTTAGTTATTTGTGACGCCGAGGATTTGATTGAAGGGAGTTGTTGTCTTACTCTGCCCTTTTGTGTGTCGCCTGATGGGCCCCCAGTGCCTAAAGTATTTATGAACTCTCTTTTTCTCAGTGATGACTGCACAGGTCGTCACAACCATAGCCAAAAAGCAAGGGAGTGAATCACAAATGATTGCTTTTCTGGTGCCTCTTGTGGAAGGTTTGTGTATGGATTTCAACGCATCACAGAAAACAGAGCGGTCATCTGCCCAGCTTGGTAGCTGAGACCCGGGTACATGTTCTGGTCATGGTGGAGGGAATGCAGGCGGTTCAGGTGAACTAAGGTGACTGAATATGATGTTGTGCTCACACCCATGAGCCTCGTTTTCGATCTGCAGTTTCCTCTCCTGGACACTGAAATCCTTTCTCCCTTCAGTGAGCAGACACCAGGGTCAGGTTAGAGCTTTTATTTCATTCCTACGCCAGAGCAGAGGACCAGAGCCACCTCCCCACCGCAGGCACATAAAAAACCCGAGAGACCCTCAGCAGATCGGCCACCTGTGGGACGCCCAGGGCCAGTGACCAGTTGGGTGGCGTCAGAGAAGGAGATAAGAGTGCTAAGACTTCTGTGCTCTGTCACCCATCGCCCTACAATCGCACTTACGTTGGTTTTCTCTTCTTGGTGCGACAGAGATCTGGGAGGAAACCAAAGACTCCAGGCGTTAGACCACATGGCTGAGCTGGAAGGTGCTGGTGTGGCTGTGACCCACAAGCCTTGCTGGGAGGCCATTGTGTCCTGTGTGTCGAAACCACTCGAGGAGAGAGCAGACCTGCATGCTGAGGTGGAGAAATCCACAGAGCCGTTTATTGGAAAGGACAGTTTCTATTTCTTTTAATTAGAGGCAGGGGAGAGGGAGTTTTCAGCAGCCCCACGGGGAGGTTTTGGTTGAACTCGAGGCTTGGGAAGGGGAGGGCCTTTCTGTTGGCGAACTTGTGTTCCCGACGGAGGAGGCCTCTTTGGATGCTGCTTTTGGACATGGTGGGCAGGAGCCAGGGGGCGATGACCGGGTGCCTGGGAACGATGGCTCGGTGGTGGGGGAGGGAGGGAGGCTGACGGATTCTGAGCTGGTGGGGCCTGGGTGTGGCAGGGTTTCAGGGCCCCTTCCTCCGTGGTTATTCTGCGGGTGCTGATCTCCAGCCCCTCATCTGCAACAAGAAAACCTGTCAAGAGCTGATTTTAGCAAGGTGCAGTCCGTGTGATACTGAGTGCCTCTTAGGTGTGAGATGCCCTGCTAGCTGTTGGTGTGAGGGGAAAGAAGCTGTCCCGCTCCTCCGAGAGCCCTGGATCTTGTGGGGGAGACAGAAATGCTGATCACGGAGTAGAGCAAGCTTCCAGGGCTCTGGAGAGCTCAGGAAGCCAAAGGGAAGAAGACAAGGGGCCGGGGGTGTGCCTGGCTCTGCACGCCCTGGAGGTGATGCCCGAGAGCAAGGCTCATGGTCAGAGCCCACTGTGAGAGGACCTGAGTGGTCACCGGGGAGTATTAGGAACTGCACTCCCTCTGATAGGTCTCTGTTGCCAAGCTGTCATTTACTCAGTTCTGTTGTCACACAACCCACACTCTGCCAAGAGGCTGGAGTACACCCGGGGGGCTTTTTAGCCCTTTGAAATGTACTAGTTCTTCAGAACTTCATAAGCAAGACGCAGCCCCTTGGGCTTAGCAGGGAAAGATTACTCCCCTCTCCTCACTCCAGGGTTTTCCGTGTTGTATGACTGTAGTCTATGATGGCAGGCCCAAGTCTCATCATAATGGAGTTTTTCCTGTGCTGCTTTAAAGTCCAACAGGAAATCTGTGAGGATGCCCAGCTGCTACAGGCCCCTCTGGCTGCCTCTGGGCTACAAGTGAGATATTTGGTCCCAGGATCCAAGGCCATCTTCACTGGGTAAAGGGGAGGCAAGAGGAACAGGCTGTCCCTGGGCTCAGCTGATGATCTCCCGTGTCTTTGTAGGCCTCTGCAGCCAAGGAAACTCAGCTCCTCTCCGAGCATCACCTGTGGCTGCAGGCTGACTGTGCCCACCCATCAGGCTGCTTTGAATGCGAAGGCTCTAAGTCAGACCATGTGTCGTGGTCTGTGTGCTCCAAGTACATAGAGCAAGGAGCACAGAGAGAACAGAGCACATCCCCTGTGACATCTTTGGCTGCCTGAGGTGGCTGAGGTTACACTCGGGGAGGCTGTGGAGGGGACTTTGTCCCCGCTCTCTGTTCCCAGGCATGGGGCAGTACATGGCCTTTCCTCATCCCATGCGGCAATCTGGGGTTGGCCATTTGCTCATCAGTCTGATCATCCAACAGTTTGTTCATTTATTTGTACCTCCTACGTTTATTCCTCAGCCTCTAGGTGTTGGGCTCTATTACTAAGTGGCAATGATGACTCAGACAAGCACTCAGACACCCCAAAATCAGGCCTGTGCAATGAATCAGGACTACAAATCACAGTGCCAGCTTCCAGGAGCCCACAGCCACCAAAGAGTTGTAGATAAAGAGGGCTGTGGGTTCCGGAAGCAGGCGTGGGTATGTGCCAAGGGGCCAGGTCCTCGGCTGGGCTGGACACACAGCTATGGCTCTGTGCAGCGTGCTTGGCCAGAGAGGACTGCAGCTTCCTGACATGCCCACCCCAGGACCCTCAGCCACTGCCTAACATCTGTGCCAAGGAACTCCTCCAGGCTCGCTGGACCCTCTTCTCCACCTGTGTCTTCTGTCATTCAACCTGGGACTGCGAGGGAAGTGAGGCAGGCAAGACACATGGGGTGCGAAATGTGAGGAGCTGCCCACGCTCAGGGTCATACAAGAAAGAACACGGTGAGGGCCTCCTTAAACTTTGCTCCCGGGGCTCCCTGCCTCATCCTATTCCTGACTTGCCTATTGGCCATAGAAGATTTGAGGCCACTGATCTAGACTCCCTGAGCTCACAGTTCACATCTGTATTCATGTCATCTGTCTCCTAAGATCACTAACAGCTGGATGAGGGAAGTGATTCTAAAACACCGAGACTGGTTCTTGGCACAAGTGACTGCCCAGTCAATGGGAGCTAATCGTCATGCCAAGAATTTCAGTGTGGCGATGGCAGGCATTGCTCTGTCTTGGGTGGCACGTGAGGTCCACCTCGGAGGAATACGTGGTGCCTTCATACTGGGTGATGAGAAAGGCCCTTTATAAGGGCAGGGATGGAGAACAGCCTGAGCGGGACACAGTAGGGAAGACCGCACAGGGCCTGGGGGCTCAGCACCAGGGTGGAGAGTGTGGCAACCACTCTAGGAGGAAGACTGGATGCTAAGGGTACAGAGATGCTCGCTAGGCCCGGGGGGGGGGCAGTGGGGTGGTCAGGCACGGGCTGAGTGGGGCCTAAAGAGTTGACTGAGGGGAGAACCCAGGAAAGATGTCTGAAGGACGGAAGCCAAATCCAAAGGTCACAGCCCCCTCCGCTGTCACCACTTTGCAGGGTCCTTGGGCTTTGCCAGAAGTGCTGGTGTGGGTGTTGCTGGGCCTGCGCCAGGAAGAGACCCGAGGCAAGGAGCGCAGACCTGCTGCGCGTGAGTGTGAGTGTGACAGAGCGAGTGTGACACTGCGCGGATCTGAGGGCCTCACCCGCCCGGTGCCATGGCTCATGACGACGACAGCCCAGCCGGACAGGGACGCCCGATGCCTTCTGCTCCCAAGTGGCCTAAGCTCCCAAGTGGATCTCAGCGGGTGGAACCCAACGAGGCCAACCTCTGCACAGATTCTCTGCGCTCCCTCCTTGTCAGGGCTGAGCAGCTGTTTTGTTCTCTCTCTCTCTCTCTCTCTCTCTCTCTCTCTCTCTCTCTCTCTCTCTTTCTTTCTCAAATCATGCTAGCCACATGAAAGCTCTGGTTTCAGCCCTGAATTCTGTCACTGCCCACCCTCTCTCCCTGGCTGACTTGATGTTTCTGTGGAGACTCGTTGCGGCCTGAGCAGCACCACAGAGGGCAGCTTACCGCATCTCCTACCGCGCTGCTTTTTCCTCTTGCAGATGTAGCAGGTGAGGAGTGCCACAAAGACCACCAAGAGGACGCTCCCCCCACAGATGCCAGCCATGAGATAGAAGTTCAGGCCTTTCCCTGCAGGGGGAAGAGACACAGATTCAGAGCGGGGAACTGAGAGAGAGGCCATTTCATTGCTCTGGCCAAACTCCCCAGCCTCTCTCACCAATAGAGGGACAAAGCTTGATAGTGATGGGACTTTTGATCTTTACAGAGGCCAAGCTTCCAGGCAGAGGTGAACTGTGCCCATGCCTTCAGGGCTCCCGGATCCAGGCTGAGCCCCTGCCAAAGCTCCTGGGAGACGGCTGTCATGGACTAAGATGGCCTGGTCATTCGTGAGCCAAAGCCTGTCCCCTCCTCCATCCCCCACACAGTACAGCACCTCCAGCGGAGCTGGGAGAGGATCTAGTGCAACCTCTAGTTTCAAGGCAGAGAGAGCAGGAGAGTTGTCTGAGGCCTCGCAGTATCCGTCCTGAGTGGTTCCTTTAAGCAGCCCCTCCTCTCAGTGCCTCTGCTGTTTTTCAGCTGTGCTGTCTGGCTTCCCTCCTGCACCAGGGTCTTTTCTGACCCTCTTGACCAGGCAGTTTCCTAACACTCAGGGTGAGTACTTTACTGGCAGCCCTCTTTCCTTGTAGCAGTCCCCACTTCCAGGCTTTTGCCCAACCCACGAGAGAAGGACAGGTGCACATTCAGTTAGCAGCAGCAGCCTGGGCCTGCAGTTCCTAGACCTTCAGTGACTGGGAGGCAACAAGCAAAACAATAACTTCAGTGTTCAGGGAAATAGGTTTGGAGACCAGCTCCCCTAGGCGAGAGCTGTGTGGCCTTTGGAGAGTCACTCTGCCCCTCTGAGGCTGTTTCCTTCTTCATGCAATGGAAACAATGAAAACTACATCACAGGGTGGCTGTTGGAAGTCAATCAGATAATGGATGTGAAAGTGCTTTGTAAACTGTAAAACAGCCCACAGATGTGAAGTCTTGCTTTTACTGGCACTCTTTGCGCTGGTGTTTTTGGTAGCTGTTTCCCAGGAGGGGTGCTGGGCCCACTGCCCTTTGTGAGTCAATAGCAGTTACAGAGGAGTAGCTGGGGCTGGGACCTGGGATCCGGGGAGAGCGACTGGAGCTCGTCCCAGCATTGCTGAAACACTTCTCTGGTCAAACCATCCCAGGAAGAGGTGAGCTGCCGGAGCCCATCTCCTACTGAGCCAAGGACTTGCCAGTGTTTGGGGATGGGAAGGCCTGGAGGAGTTCTGGTGCCATGCGTCTAATCCATGCAGCCGCCGGCCTGGCTTCCCCTGGAGTCCTTGCACGGGGCTCCCACCCCTTGTCCTGGCACAACTGGGAATGCAGGCAACCCCCAACATGTCTGTCCTCCGAGTTGTGCTGTGTCACCCTGAGCTCCTGCTGGAGACATATTCTAGCCTGTCTCAGAGGCCGCTGTGGCTGTCATTCAAAAACAGGCCACACGTTCTCTAAATCCAACTAGTCGGCACCCCTACGCTTCCTCTTGGAGAGAACTTACTCGTAAGTTTGTGCATTGGAGTGTTTCTTGTTCAACCCATCCCTTCCCCCTAGTATTTTGTTTTAAGTAGCTTATTTGAGCCACATGGCTAGAATGTGACCATTGCTCCTCTCTGCCTTGGTCTTTTAGAATAAAATGACCAGATACCTTTAGGGTCTTCAAGTATAGCCCCTTCCTCCTCAACCTCCCCCAAAATATTCCTTCCACTCTGCAGTAGCCCTTCCCAGGACCAATCCTGCTAGGTACCATGGAACAGGGCACCCTCCCTTCCTGTCCTGCCTTCTCCCAAGGTCTTTCCTCCCTTCTTAATATACCCACACTTTTTATACTGGTGGGATCCAATTAAAATAAATATGAAGAGCTGGATTGCCAGATAAAAGACAGGACAGCCAGTTACATTTGAATTTTAAATAAACAATGAATACATTGTGCATAAGTAAGCAACATTTGGAACACACTCATACTGTAGTTCTAGCTGTTAAATCTGGCATCCCCGATCAAGGGCAGCCTGAAAGGGGAAAGGAGGTCACAAAGTCACAACAGGGACAGTTTCTGCACTCTGCCTTGGTGATGGCGGGTGTGACAGGATGGCCATGCTGGTCTGTGTCTGTGGCCAGCGGACTCCCAGGCGACCTTCTGGAATCGGGCCTGTGCCATCCCCTCTGAGCGAGCACGGCCAGGCTTACTGACTTCCTCCTAGTACACAGAATTTAGGACGATGCACATCACTGCTGAGATGAAGTCATAAGAAGGCCATGGCTTTTGTCTTGGGTGCTTATTCTCATTCTCTCTTAGACTGCTCGTTGGGAAGTGAGTTGCCACACTGAGGGGCAGCCCAGTGGCTCACACCGGGGAGCTTGGAAGCAGACCCACTACTTTCCTCGTGTGCTATCTTCTTTCTGAATCACAAAACTGAAGCCCAGAGAGGAACAACCTCTAAGCTTATCCAACTAAATATGGGTGGACCCAATTCAGAAGTTCAGCCCTCTGGCTTCCAGGGAACTACAGCAGGCTGCCCCTCCAAAATTACTGCTGGGAGTCCTGGCGAGCTGGGACACTGGGATCAATGAGATCTGAGAGTGAGAGGGCTTTCTGGAGCTCGTACCAGGCCCAGGCTCTTTCTCCGTGTGACAGAAGTGCTGTCTTACTAGGTCCGCAGTCTCCTCTCGGCTCCAGTTTCCCTGCTTCCTTCTGCATATTTAGGTGGGAAGTCAGAGTCATGGTCACTAACTAGCAGAGGGACCTTGGGCAACTCAGCTTCCCTCTTCATTAAGCAGGGGTTTGCACGAGATGATCTCTCCTTTCAAATTCTTTCCCCCAAAGAGGATCTTTTTAAGTCCCTGAAGTCACGGGGGGGGGGGGGAGGGTGCTGGA